TTTTTTTTTTTTTTTTTTTTTTTTTTTGGTTTTTTCGAGACAGGGTTTCTCTGTGTAGTTCTGGCTGTCCTGGAACTCACTCTGTAGACCAGGCTGGCCTCGAACTCAGAAATCCGCCTGTCTCTGCCTCCCAAGTGCTGGGATTAAAGACGTGCGCCACCACCGCCTGGCTTTATATTATTTTATTTTATTTTATTTTATTTTATCGCTTCGTAAACGGTGTCTTTCTATATAAAGCCCTGGCTATCTGGGAACAATGTAGATCAGGCTGGCCTCGAACTTAGAAAGACAGATACCACCTGCTTCTGTCCCTAGAGTGCTGAAACTAAAGACTTATTACACTATGGCCCGCTTGTGGTTTTTTTTTTTTGGTTTTTTCGAGACAGGGTTTCTCTGTGTAGTCCTGGCTATCCTGGAACTCACTCTGTAGACCAGGCTGGTCTCGAACTCAGAAATCCGCCTGCCTCTGCCTCCCAAGTGCTGGGATTAAAGGCGTGGTTTGATTTCTAGTACCTACGTAGTGGCTCATCACCTTCTGTGGTTCCAGTTCTAGTGGATCACACACCCTCTTTTGGCCTCTCTGACCACCAGCTACACAAATGATGTACAACCGTATATTCATTGCAAAGCCCTCATACACATAAAATTATTTTTTTAAAAATTGAACTAGCTGGATGTGGTTGATAAAAGAGTTTGGCCTGGTTTAATTGTACATGCCTTTAATCCTCGCACTCTGGAGGCTGAAGCAGGCTGATCTCTACGAATTTGAAGTCAGCCAACTCCACATCACAATACTCTTTTTTTTTTGTTTTGTTTTTTTGCTTTTTTGTTTTTTGGTTTTTCAAGACAGGGTTTCTCTGTGTGGCCCTGGCTGTCCTGGAACTCACTCTGTAGACCAGGCTGGCCTCGAACTCAGAAATCCACCTGCCTCTGCCTCCCAAGTGCTGGGATTAAAGGCGTGCGCCACCACTGCCCGGCCCACATCACAATACTCTTATCACAAGGATTTAAAAAAAAAATAGCTACATGTTTGTGGTTGGGAATTAAGACTTCTTTTTAGAAATACCTAGAAAGGCCTGAGGGATGGCTCAAGCAGCTCACAACTTCCTGTAACTCCAGTTTCAGGGGATCCAGCACCCTCTTCTTACCTCCATGGGTATCTACACATACATCAGACACATACACTTTAAAAAATTGATGGTGGTGCACAGTTGCAATTTTTTTTTTTTTTTTTTGGTTTTTCGAGACAGGGTTTCTCTGTGTAGCCCTGGCTGTCCTGGAACTCACTCTGTAGACCAGGCTGGCCTCGAACTGAGAAATCTGCCTGCCTCTGCCTCCCAAGTGCTGGGATCAAAGGCGTGCGCCACCACCGCCCGGCTGCACAGTTGTAATCTTAACACATAAAAGGCAGTTGGAGGAGCCAACCACCAGACTGAGCTTAGCGATCCCGGTGAGGAGCTGGCTGAAGGACTGGAGGAGTGGAGGGGAATTGCAACCCCATAGGAAGAACATCATCTGCTGGCTGGACCATCCAGTGCTCCCAGGGACTAGACCACCAACCAAGCAGTGTACAGGGAGGGATTCATGGCTCCAGATACATATGTAGCAGAGGATGGCCTTGTCTGACATCAACAGGAGGGGAGGCCCTTGGTCCCAGGGAGATTTGATGCCCCAGCATAGGGGGATGCTGGAGCAGTGGGGCGGGAGAGGTTGGGTGGGTAGGGGAGCACCCTCATAGAGGGAAAGGGGAGGGAGGAGAGGGCCGATGTGGAATGGGGGGGCTTGTGAAGGGGTAACTGGGAAGGGGAATGCCATTTGAGATATAAATATATAGAATGATTAATTAAAAAAAAAAGGCAGTTGGATCTTTATAAGTTTAAGACCAGCCTGGCCTAAATAGCAAATTTCAAGACAGCTAAGACTTACACAGTGAGTCTCTGTCTCTAAATAAATAAATAATAAAATGCAGAAGGAAGAAGGAAGAAAAAAAGAAGGAAGAACTAGCTATAAATCACCTTCCTGTTTTCTAGGATCCAATCTTTTTTTCTCCCCAAGACAGAGTAGGCTTTCTCTGTATAACCCTGGCTGTCCTGGAACTCACTCTGTAGACCAGACTGGCCTCGAACTCAGAAATCCGCCTGCCTCTGCCTCCCATGCGCTGGGATTAAAGGTGTGTGCCACCACTGCCTACCTGGCTCCAGGGTCCAGTCTTGAACCAGGGCCTCACACAGATAGGTTATTGCTCTACTGCTGAGCTGTAACCCTAACCCAAAGACTTTATGGTAACTGATGCTCTAGTGGAGGTGTATGGTGACTTTGGTTTACTGGTCCCTTGAAATGTAAGAGGACCAGGCTAAAAGTTGCTTGTTCTCTCTAGTGATACTGAATCTTACTCCCACTTATGGAAACAAAACATGGAGGGGGCACCCGGATTTGAATCGGGGACCTCTTGATCTGCAGTCAAATGCTCTACCCCTGAGCTATACCCCCTCATCTTGTTGTAGTCCTCTTCCTTGTCCACTTATGGTGAGTCACTACTATGGACTGGTTCCACCCACACAAATGCCCCGGGGAGCTCTGTGTTCTCAAGCCTCACCTTTGTATACACCACCTGCATTGGCTTTTCTGCTGGTCACCAAGAAACAGGGTGGAGACATGAAAACATAACTGGTTGGAAAGAAAGTTAACATCGGGAACAGAGAATGCTGTGATTTGGGCTAATATGTACCCTAGAAGGTCATCTTGTACCCCTGGCCCTCCAATGAATTGTGGGTAAAAGAGATAGATGGCGTCCGCTTTTTTGTTTTTGTTTGGGGCCTTTTTTGTTGTTTGGTTTTGGACTAAAAATTGAATCTAAGAAAAAAAAATTGAATCTAAGTTCTCAAACATGCGAGCTAAGCTTTCTTACCACCACTACCTATCTATAATCTTGTGTCCCTTGCCTTTTTTTAATTTGGACAATATCTTTCTATGTCTAGCCATGAACATTCGATCCCTTCTGCTTCAGCATCAGATAGCTGGAATTATAGACCCAAACTCCCAGACACACTTAAAATGTCAGTTTGTTTGTTTGCTTGTTTTTAAAATAGGGGATGACATCATTTCAGGGAAATCATATTCTTTTTAGATGTTATACAGGGTCTTTGTACAGTCCTTGCTGACTTGCTGGAACTCGCTGTGTAACCCAGGCTGGCTTCATGCTTTTGGAGGTCTTCCTGTTTCTACCTCTTTAGTACGGGATTACAAGTATGTGTCATCATACCCCTCGAGGACCCTCTGCCTATGCCTGCTATATTTGTTTTTATTTTCTTTTTGTCTGTTTTAAATTATATTTTAATTGGGTTTGAGGATGTATATGCCCATACACATGTCACAGAGTACACGCAGAAGTCAGAAGGCAATTTGTGTAGTCAGTACCCTCCTACCCTGTGGGTCCTGAGAATATAACTCAGATTGTCATACACTGTTCCCTTCCCTGTCCTTGATGTCAACAGTGACCAGCTTCTGACCTAGGAGCCTACTGATGCTTGGGGAAGCATTTTGTTGAGAGCTGACTTTGTTGAGTGCTAGCTAACAAGGGAGCTCACTGGCAAAATTCTGGAAACAGAAGCTTCCTTGGTCCTCTCCATCCTCTCCAGAGATGCAGAGAAACCAACTTGTTCCCTCCTCCCACCCCAGGAAAGAATGAGCACACCAGGAGACACAAATGCAATGTTTAAAAATATAGAATATCATTGACAGTCCATCTAAATATCTGTCTTGAAGATGCAGGCCAAGGCCTGGGACGCAATCTCTTCAGAAAATTGGAAATGGCGTGACTTCTCCAAACACCGAGGTATGCTGGCGGAGGGCTGGAGTGTTCCTGCGGTAGCCGAATCGACCATTTAAGCCTGTGGTGATGGCCTTCGGATTGGCATTGTAGTAGTCATGACCACTCACCTGCTGGAGGGAATGTCCTTTGGGGAGAGGAGAGAGGCTGAGCCTACTGGCAGCATCTTCTTGCCTTCCCCATTTAAACCCAGTGAGTCAGTGTATCTCCCATCACCACAGCAGGACCCTGAACCCCTTGAAAGAAATCAAGGGCAGTGAGGTTCAGGAGACAGAGATGTCCTAGAAATCAAACCCTACCCCATGTGAATCTACAAGAGAACCACAAATCGTCTGTACTGGATCTGGACTTGACTCCAGGCCATGTAAGGATTTACCTTTGCCGCTATCCTGTCTGGAGAAAATAGGTGAGCTCAATTTGATTACTTGGTGCAAAGGACTTCATAGTAATTGTGTGTCCAAAAGGTGGTGGAGTTGGATG